CGCGGGTGGTATGGGTGGTGGGGCTAGAGAGGGGGGGGGGGGGGGGACAAGTGACGCAGTGGGGAGATACAAGATAGAGGAGAAGAGGATATGTGCCCTCAGTCAATTGAAAAGCTGTCAGGGTGCAGGTGCATACAAGCTATAAGCTGCAGATAAGAGGCTACTCTGTCTCTCTAGCTGTTTTCTTCTCACCTCTCCTGCCCTCCTTCGTACTTGTTATCTTTTTTCTTTTTGCCCCGTTTGCTTTGCTGAAGCGCCAGAATTCATCAAGTCGGTAATGGTTAAACAACGTTCAGAGATTCTGACCCTCTAACATGTCGAATGGCACTTTCCGCTTCTGTAGTTAAGAATAAATCCGTGCACCTGAGAGTCGCAGAGGAGCATTTTCTCATCACTGAAAATAATGAACAGTGTTGAACATGTGTGAAATGCTAAAATATATTCTTTTGAGTTGGCTTCAAACTAATTAAAAGAAGTATTTTGCTTGAGAAAAGAATTTGGACATTTAGCCCTATTAAAGAGTTTACTGACAAACCTGACTGAGTACATGTTCTTTTATTTGACTTAAAACTTTGAAAAGGTGAAAGTCATTAATTAATTTTAAATTCTCAATAAATGGCATAATGTCTTAAAAATGATATATCTATATGCACATATATATATACATATACATTTGTATATAAAAAGTATATAAAAGGGGATATATATATATATCCATTTACAGTATATTACATGTCTGAGGCTATCATACATGATTAATCATGATTAATTAAAAATTTTAATTCACTGCTTAATCATGATTATTTAAGAAATTAATAAATGATTACTCCTCATTGTGATAAATATTTTTTGTATGTTGCTGGATTCAAATGCATTAAAAATGTAATCAGATTAATCCTTACAAATTAATTAACACATACATTTTGACAGTATAATTATATATACTAGTGTTCAGATATGTAGCTGTCACATGAGCTTCCCAGTCAATCAGAAACTGCAGCATAAGCCAAGTGTTTTCACTCATAGAGGCGCCTGACCGGATCTGTATTGTACTCTTTAAGACAGTTTCAATATTGGTTTCTCTTAATTATTCCTCCCTGGGGTTTTATTTTTCTTCTTAGATGCTAACAAGATTTTCTAATTACTTGCCCGAAACACAGTGGAGATACTAATTCTCTGTTGTTGACAGGACAGAAATAAATGGCACCGAGGAGAAAACAGTTCCTTAAATGTGTAGCCAAGGGAAAAAACACACACACAAAAAAAGTCTTTTCTTTCTTGTGTTTGGTTTAGAGGCAGTGAAAGCATCGTCCTTATCAGTCTTGTAGCTGTGCCAGTAGCTTTTGGTGTCGTCTGTGTCTGTTCCATTTTCCAGTTCCTCCCTTTTTTGATTTCTCTCCGTCTCTGTGTTTCTGTAAAAGCCAGTCTGCGTCGTCCAGAAGTCTGAAGCTTCTGTGTTCCGTCCGCCTTCGCCTTCAGTTTGCAGAGATTAAAAATAATGGGCAGTGCCATTAAATAAAGCAACTCATCCTGCTGTTTATTTTTTTCTTACATTTTAACACAGATCCACAGAAAGCTTACACCAACAATGACAGCTCCTGTACTCTACCAAATTGCCTCCGTGACACACACTATTTACACACATACACACATCCATATTAACAAGCCTTTACAAAGCTCAGTGTCAGAAAAAAACAAGTTTTTTTTTAACTCTATCTGTCACTCATTCAGAGTTATTAACCAATATTTTATTTTTTGGAATTGATTCAGTAGCTGTTGTTGATTTAGAAAATCAACTTCAGTTTGGTGCAGCATGTGGACAGGGCTCTTGCTTTTTGCCACCGCTGATCCAATTTTCTGCTTCAGGCGCCTTTAATAGATTGCGTGTCGCTATCAGGAGGCTTCGACTTCCCTGATGAAGGCCATTTATTTCAAATTAAAGGAGAGTTCCTTATCTTTGGCGGCCCTCAAATGCAGAGTGAGATAAAGGTGCTACACTTTTGGCTCGTCTTCTCCTTTTTTCTCTGTTGTTAATGTAATGAACGAAACACAAGGTGTGAGCCAGGGAAGTAGGGGAGGAGGGACTGAGGGGATAGTGAACGATCAAAAATAATAATAATAAAATATACAGTTGGACACATAACAAGAGGAAGATAGGATAGAGATGACATAAGACAACATACAGTAGTTATCAGATTTTTATAGCTTTTTGAAATGGATTTGTGAAAGAACAAAAAGCTTTTCTTTTTCCTTCTCCCTCTCTTCTTACTTCTTTCTGTCACTCTTATCTTCTTTGACCTTTTCTCTGAATGCCCCTCACCTTCCCACAGATTAACTGATCTCTGGCTTTGTGAATATAGCATGCTCTAAAAAGATGTCCAAAGTGTGGCTTCCAGGCTGGCTGTGGAACACTAAGAGTTCTTATGTGGCCACAGCTTCTTTCTTCAATGTTCATTGGCTGGTAGCAGATAATAATAATCAGTAATTATCAGTAAGACAGTTACTTCTCTTTTGCACTTGGGCTTTACTGCTTTACAAAATGTTAGGCAAGCTGGATCTGTTTTTTATTTTTAATGATATGTGGCCACTTTTAACTTGTCTTTGATCTCTGATTTTAAATGTTAATGGGAAACTTTCAGCTGTTTTGACCTTTATTTTTTAACTTATTGCTGTTTTAAATCATTTGTTCAGATTTACACTAGTGTTACGTTAGAAGTGGTTCCTATAAATAGTTTTTTATTTTTTAATCTGACCCCCCTTAAAGAAGGCTGTACCTAAACATACATGACAAACTACAGTCAGACTTGCATTTCTGGGAAAGCAGTACATGTATGTGGTACTGTACAGTTTCTAGGCTACTTTATATATATAACTAAGCAGCGCTTATATTAGCTGGCAAGCACACAGATCAGTTGTATTAGATCATGGTTATTTCACACTCTTTATCAAAATTAACTAAAAACTAATTATTTAATTTACCAAGAAGCACGTACTACAATGTACGCACACATCACTGTTAAAGTGAATGTAAAAGGTAAGAGTATTTCACGATTATCTACCCTCATTTCATAAGACAAGTTTCATTCAAGTTTGTTTCTTTCTTTTCTGGAGAAAAATTTAAGATATTTTAAACTACTTTTAGTTTGTCTTTTGTTTGGCTTCTAGGAACCTAAGAATGTGTTTTGCATTCTGCAGTACCTGAGGCTGTAGAGTGTGTGAGGTTGCTGTCAACAAAGTATTTATGCATCCCAGGAAAGTTTAATTTTTCTGTGAAGTGCATAATTTACCAATACTAACCCAGTAGTGCTGTTTCAGGTATCTGTGTATCAAAGTTCCGGTCATACAGTACTTTGGTACATGTGGCCAGTTATCACCGATGTAATAGTCCTGCATTTTTACTTTCCTGTGCAGTAACATCCGAGCCCCTATTTTAGAAAGTAATGTAGTTTGATACAGTGTTTACTCAACAAAACAGTTTAATCTATGCCCAGATCAAGTACATTCACCAGCTGTCAACAGTCAGTGGCTTCAGTTGCGTCAGCATAGACGTTGTTCATTACAAAAACACTCAATCACACAATGAAGTCAGGTGAGGGTGGACGGCTGAACCAGGCAGCTGTGGCCAGAACACTTTACCTATAAATATGCCATTAAATATGCTTCGTTCTTAGACAGTCATGGACTTATTTGTTGAACACAACTATATCATACAGGCACCGAACAGGAGTTTGTCAAAAAATGTGGTGAAGGTGAAGGTATTTATATTGGTTTTTTTTTTAAATGAAGAGGCGCTGTCCTTCTTCTTTGTTGGTTTTTACAGTTTCCATGGTTGCAGCGAGGCTTTGAGTTCACAGTTTACCTGATTTCTCTCACAATGTGCTCTGCAGTTGTAAAACAAACTGACATTTTTCACCAAATCCATTTACTTTTTTGCGCTCTATGCGTGAAGAATTCCTGCAGTTGCGTCTGCTCTGAAGTGCTGCTGCCGTTTGTTCAGAGACATAAAGAGGCAGATGGAGTAGGAGAATTCTTCAAAACCAACATTCATTTGCAGATTCACTGTAGATGAGTTCTCTAATAGGTAAATCGACAGTGTGGCATCAGTAGATTGTGACTGAAGGCCAACCTCCTCTTCTAATTTCCTCACATGTTTCCGTGTGATGCAATGCCACACCAACCCCTGCTAATTCAATGTGGCCTAATCCAGGAGCGTGGTGACACTTATCTGCAAATACAAATGGTGAAAGTCAGTGGAAGTAATTACAGTACATTAGTTGAAGTCAGTTTGGAGAGCTGTATCAGTGATAACAGCTGGAGATGTGTCTGGGTTGATGTATGGAGGCCTGGAAAAATACTGAAACAAATGGGCTTTTTTTTTGTCCCAGCCTTGAAAATGAATTCTAAAAAAAGTAGTATTGTATATATATATATAGTAGTACATATATATATATATATGTATATATATATATATAGTAGTATTGTTTATATATATAAAATGTTATCAGGTCTACAGGTTTTTACAAATAACTGTAGCATGTACTACAGTTATTTGTACCCCACCTATAAGAGAGCGAGTGTTTAATTCCTGCCCACACTGACCTGCTCTGCTTTGTCTTTTCTTTTGTTTGTGATGGTGTTTAGTTGTTTTTTTGGGCGGGGTCATTTTAGCTGCAAACAGTTACAGAACTCATCTACAAAAGGCGTTTTCATGAAAGGTTAGGCAGAAGTAGAAAACCCATTTGGATTGTTTATGTATAGTAAATCTTTGAAGGTTAAGGATCTCTTCAGATGTTTAGAAAAACAATAGAACAGCTCACCCTTCAGTCAAGGGTCTGGTGAAGTCTGTGGTTCTCTCCTCCACATCTGAATAGATTAGTGAAGTCTGTAGTTCTCTCCTCCACATCTGAATAGATTATTTTTAGAATAATACTTGCTACAAACCCATTTTTAACTCTGTCTTTCTGTGTCTCTGTGTAATTCGCAGGTATCACAGCGTAGACCCAGTCTGTCTGGGCCTGCAGGCTCAGATTTTATCCTGCTACAGGGAAAACAAAGACCAGACCCTGACATGTTCAAACCTTGCCAAAGAATACATGCAGTGTATCAATGCAGCAAAAAAGGTAAGGATCCTTTTTTATCCTTTTTCCAGGTCCAAAATATACTATGGATACTATGATATTTCGTCTTGTGGTACATTATTGATTTACTGCCGCCAATTATCGGTATTTAAACATAAACATATAATAAACATATACTCATTCTAAACAGATTCTCTCCCAGAGGGAGTAATTCATATGAAATGGATTCAGTGCAGTCAAACAATTCTGAATGTCTTCAGTGACACAGATTATGTGATACATCGTGGATGAACTTTAATATAATTATATATATATGTAATATATTTAATATATTGATTATCACAGAATCGCTGTATTTGTGATATTAACGTATATGGTGATAGATCGCCATATTGTCATATCCCCAGCTACCTGGCGATACTCAGCTCTAATTACAGGACAGGTGTTTAATAACTTATGCACTGAAAATACATTGAAAGTTATATAATGCATTTAAACAAACTATTTAATGCAGGTAAGAACAAACAAACCATACAACAAAGAATTTCACATTAAAATGATTTTCACTTCTACCAGTAACATTCAGACAGACAACGTCTCGGTAATGATCGTCCACCTGATAAACAGTGGGAGACAATAGTCCCATTTACATTCATATACATTGACAAGTCCCTCGACACGCTGACTCACACCGAAGTCATTTCCTAGAACAATACCCAGCATTAAGCCAGTGTCAACCAGACAGACTAATCTCCAGAGCATTGTGGTGGTGCCAGAAAACATTGGGACTGCTCCCGTTAGCATTCTGCTTGAGGCCAAAGACTTGTTTGTATGTATATGAATCATCATCCAGTTTTTATAGGTGGCTCTAAGCCCAAGATGCAGCTGTATTTTCTGTGCGACCTAATGACAGTGGTGACATTTCATTCTGATTCCCTGCTCCTTATCAAGAATCAACTGAAACAATCCTTGTTTTAATACAAACCCTCAAATCTTAGATGTACCGTCCAAACTTTCTCCATGCAGTGGAGTTTACGGAGTAGCAACTTTTTCCTTTTTGTTAAAGGCTCTATCAATTGTAATACAGTAATAACAATTTTGTTTTCACCAACACTAAAATTAGGACCATTAAGACCATTTTTATTTTAGGTTGCTCTGAAATGGGTATATTATTTACATTATTATTGGTTCATATTTGGCTGCACAATTAATCGACTTTTAATCACCAGCATGATCTTGGTTCCCATATTGAAATTAAGACAATCATCTGTGATACCTCCACTGACTTGTTTGTTTAAAATATAAAGCGCAATAAAAATATTTAAAACAAGTATTAATAATACTCTTTACTGTTTACATGCTGCCAATCACAACCAAAAGGGAAGAATGTGTGAGTGGTGCAAGCAAACAGTAGGAGCAGGTGGAGTTCTGGTCAGACCACAGAGTTGATGCTACTTTGACTTGGCCGTTTTACTGAAATTTAAATTCTTTTTAAACGTACTTTGAATGACAGAAGTAAAGTCAGCACCACGGTCAGCTCCATTTCACCTAAAACCAAAATGCATTAAGTATCTTAACCCGTTTAACTGAAATACTTATTTAGACATTATACACATTAGATGTGGCTGTGGTTCTATGAAACATTTGTGTGTGGCAGCACCAGAGACATTTTTTCTTTTTTCTCTTTCTCTCATCTGTTCCATTTACTTTTTTAGATTTAAACCAAAAAGGCTTTTGGTTGGGTTTAAACTGTTAAATTGCGAATGTCATTTTCTTGTCATTTGAGAACAAAAAAGTTCTAATCAAATTTAACAATTAATTCTAATATTGTGAAAAAGCCCTTTTTATTTGTGGAGCAATGTGGGGTAAAAGTGGGTTAGACAATGTTGAACAAATCTGGTTTTAGGCTTAAGGTGAATTTTGCAGCTGTTTATTAGAATTTGCTCCCAAAACGTGTTCATTTATTTAACAGTAAAATCAGTTGTTATTGTCACTCTTTTAAAACTGAACTTCTCTGTTTTTGATCTAATGGATTTCTCTTGTTTGGCCTCCTGTATGTGTGTAAACCCTGTTTAACCCATGTTTGTGCGCCTGTAGCATTTCTGCTCTTCTGAGATCCGGTATCTGTGTGTGGGAATGTGTGTGTGTGCGTCTCTGTGTGAAAATCCCTTATATAAGTTGGTGGGAGATAACGAGTAATGAAGTCAAGATTCTTTGAAGACTGTCTTTAAAAGAGCATTTCGTAGTGTGTGTATGCGTGTGTAGCTGTTCTATATTGCAGCTTTAACCTACACATCAAGGTCTTTGCTGGTGATTGGCCCCTAAGGCGGCTCCCTTAAGTGTGCCCTGTCAGTTTAAAAGCTTAAAAAGTCCTGCCTCTATTTTTCTGTGTTTAGAAGCTGTAACAGCTGGTGTGGTTAACACTAACGACGGTTCCTCTCCTCTTGTTTGGAATAAGTTTCTCTCATTTGTGTTCTTAAAGGCTGCAAATGAGACGATTGATAAAAACACCAGGTGGTCATTCAACATTTACAAAACAAAATGGCTCATAAAAAGGTTTATCTTTGTTGGTCATATTTAAAAATGCGTTTTACAAATATTTTATTATTAGGACAATGATATGGGTCCAGTAAAACAAGGATGAAAATGTTGTAAAAAGACATATCTCCGTCCAGTGAGGCACATTATTCTTACATCAAATGAAAGGCACTTACATTTACACACTTGATGGTTTGAATGTTACCCAGGATGTTTAGGACAAAAAACAAACAGCGTTTGGAGCTCCGCACCGATAGTCACTCAATAGCACGTTAGGTAGTAGGTACCCTGAGTATGAGGTCATACAATAATAAAACAAAAATACGTCACCATGCAAATTTATCTCCAATGAATCGTACCATTGGGAACCAGTTCTTCATTCTCCTCCCTCCTAATTGGCCAACTCTGCATTAAATGTCCCATATCCTCAACAAGACCCCATTGTGAGTGGGTTCGTGTTTGGCCCAATCTTTAATTCCTTTTTTGCAGAAATATTAACAGAGTTAAATGTAATCAAATCCTCAGGAAACCTTCAAAGAACAGGAGACTTTTCATCTCCGGCCTTTTAAACAGTACAGATAATTTGTGTCTGAACCAGCTCCGGTTTTTGTTTTGTTTTTCCAGTCCTGCAGACGTGACTGAGTTTTGATCACTGTCACAGTGTGTCAGTGGACATGCCTGCCTTTGAAGGCCTTTTCCTGCTGGGTTCGCCGCCATTGTTGTTCCAGTGTGTGCGTGTGTCTGTTTATCTGGCAAATTAGGGGAAGAACCCACCGAACCTGCAGAGCCAGAGCAGACAACCTCTTTATGCAGTGGGGGCAGTGCCTGACTGAACACAACGCAGACACACTGTTCTTTACGTTGTGCATTGGTTCTGATCTCAAAACCATATATTAATAAACAATGGTTTTGTGCTCTCATTAGATTACAGTTAGCTAGAAAAGAAGACTTTAAAGCACAGGCACATGAGAAGTTTGATAATGATGATAATGATAATGATGATAATAATGATGATGATGATCAAATAAGAACAATGTAGGATAACAGTGAAATAGCAACAGGAAATCGTTATATATATTTATAATATATATATAGATATATGAAATATATATAAAACACCTCTGAACTTGGAGAAGTATTTCACCATTCTAATTTAAATGTTCAATACAATCTTCAACACACTAGATAAAACCCATGAAAAATCCGTTTGTTTTGCAAAAATACAAATCAGGGGCAACAATAATGCCAGCTAGGTATTCATGTCTCATGTATTAACACTAAGGCACTACTTTAGCAGGAGAAAGATTGTTTGTGTTGCAGCAGTTCCTATTAGAGTATTTGTGACGACCAGGAGTTCTAATTCAAAAGGGACTAGTCCATGAATCTGCATTCATCTCTAAAGAAACAATGACTTGTGCTCTATAACTGTCTCTGACCACAATTACCAAGAAATAATTTATATATAATCCACATGTTTTATACATTATTTAAAGAAACTATTGGGATGTGGCATTTCATATTCAACACTGCCAACATAATATTGAAAAAAAAAGACAACAACTGTCTGACCCCTTTATCTTGTCTTGACAACTTGGACTGGTTACATCACATCTGGACTTGTAGAGTGTTTTTTATAGTGTGTGTCCATCTGAAAGACGCAACAAAAGACAAAGGGAAAAAGAAAATACTTCAATCAACATTTGATTTCAAGTCTATTTGGAAGAAGAAAAAAAAGCTGCGTTGACAGTAAAGAAGTCCAGATAAAAAGTCAGAATGTAGTGAAACCACGTGGCATAAAGCCTGCTATTGATTTTTTTCCCTTTTGTTACCTTCAGTCTTGTTTTCTCTTGAACAAAAGTTGTTTCAGTACAAAGATCATAGCAGCTCAACTGATAATAATATAGATAAACGTTTTAGAAAAATAAAACTCCAAAAAAGACGGGAGACAAAGGATGGCTCTAAAGGAAAGAAAGGTGTCTTTTCAACGGCACTGGTAGATGTTAAAGCCAGGTGAAGGATAAACGGTTAGGCTTTGAAAAGTGTTGCTAAAACACACGCTAGATAAAAGGAAACATTGAAAGGTGCCAAAGCTTTGAAATCCAGCCAGAATAAAGAATAAAACATGAAGAATTCAAGTGGAAAGCGGAAAAATAAATATATATATATATAAGATATATATATATATATATATTTATATAAAATTAAGAACTTAATTATACAAGGTGGTTGATTAATGAATCATTTAACCTTTTAATCAAAAAGACCATTTCAGGATATTTGACTCATTTCAATTTAGTTTTATTTGAAGGTATTTTCCACCGTGACAGTCGAACCACATAGTGGTTTGCCTGACAGAACTGGATTACAATCTCACAGAAAGGAAGCGATGGAAATCAAATTTTTTCCCTATTCCCCTCTGGACAAGAGTTTCAGGAGACATGTATTGTGAGATGCAGGACATCTTGTAGAGATCACGTCTCTCTTTGCTGACCTGGTAACACCTCAGTATCCCCCCTGGAGGAGCTGATGGCAGCAGCTGGGCAGAGATGTGTCTGGGCCTCCCCCCCGAGACTGGATGGACGATAAGATGAAGTGGACAAAGATAAAAGCATTTCAGGAATAGCACAGGAGAGGCTACGGTTGCTGAGAAGAACCAGCAGAGGATGTAGTGACAAACAGGATTGATGAGTCGCTGTAATCTGAAATCTTCTACATGAACACAGCGGAGTCACAGCTGACCCGTGTGATGTGTGCAGCGTTGTATGGCTTACTTTGCATTGGCCTGGTGTTAATCATTTTCCTTTAGAGTTATCAGAGGTAAACACAGACAGCTGTGTGTAATGGTTCTGCACTTTGACTCTGCATCTTCCCCAGTCACTAAGTGCAGATTTATTAACCAGCCCTACTCCACTGCTCACAGATGGCAGCAGGCATTTAATGAACTGCAAAAAAAAAAAAAAAAAAAAAAGAAATCTATATATTTAAAGCTGCTGCAGATTCACAGGAATGTGGATGGGTTTGCCCAAATGCTATCCTAAATTCCCTTTTAATAGTCTGCTACTGCTGTATATCAGACCTCAACCCAAAGACACTGGTCATTGACAACAGACCAGTATCCATTTAATTACTACAAATGTGAAACAAACTGAGAAAGTGATAATTTTGGCTGAAGAATGTTAGAATTGAGCTACAGGGAAAAATGTAAAAGCTCCAGAAAGAAGAAAGTGAAGGAAATAGAAAGTCAGTTGTTCTGACAGTAGAGGTAACTGTTGGCAGGTTATCTACTGGAGCGACCTCTAACAGGAGCAGAGGAAAAAGGACGAAGCAAAAGAGAAACTGTTATGACATGTATTGGAGATTCACAGAGACAGAAAAAGATTGTAAAGGAAAACAGTCCCACACGTTGTCATGTCATTGTCTAATTACATTTTATATTGATCCTTAAGGACCATTATTAAGAGCCTTGAGGAAAAATGTCTGAAAAAGTTGTATGTAAAGATTTTAAATTAGTGCAAGTTTCTTGGCTGAACCTTTTCAGCCAAGTTCATGTACCACAGTGAAAAATATTCTTCGACATCAACACAAGAATCTCGACTTTTACCATTCTGAGTTTGTGCCCAAGAGAAAACACAGAATAAAAATTGAAGCAAAAAAAAAATATATATATTTATATTATATTAAAATATTCAGCAAATGTCTTTGATTTACAAAAGGTGACACTTTTGAAAACTCTTTCTCCCACATTCTTTTTTTTTTCCCTGAAAAGGGCTGTTTGTGCCTCATTAGCAGTGACTGCCTACGAACGCGTGGAAAAAAGGATTCCTTGAACCTTGTTTCCATCCGAGCACACAGTCTGGAATCATAGATGATTTGTTAGGAAAAATATATAATGTGGATTGCAGCCAGGACGCTCTGTTGACCGAAACCTTTACTTCATATTTGTTTTATTACTAATCTCACAGTTAATGCAGTGAAATATTTCCCTATATTTATTAACTCTTACGTATGTCATACTTTTGTGTAGTGTTTATCCCAGCTTTAAGGTCAGCAACACTTCCAACGTTTATTTTTACTTCTACTTTTTAAAGATGTAAAATAAAATTTGGAAAATTCGATTCTAGCTTCAGTTGGTCACAACTGTAGTCCACATGTTGATTTAGTTTTTACGCTGGATATCCTTCCTACTGAAACCTTCCTGCTTTTAGTCAGGAGCCAGGGCAGATTGTGAATTGGAACCAGAGATCCATGCTATCACATGTAAGAAATCCCACACATACCAATAGTTCTATAGTTCTCACAGTTCGAATTTAGAACCAAGATGCCCCCCTAAATATAGGGTGGAGGCAAAGAGGCCCCACTAAGACTCTGCAGCTTAGGTCAGACAGAGACACAGGTTATTATATCGAGCAGTACAGGTGGACCTGCCGTCACCTCTCCTTGTAAACTGAGCAGGCCAGTTAATCATATTGAAACAACCATTCACAGTCACTTCAAACTTTCAACGCCTTGGTTCTACAGGACATTGTATTCTAAACTCCTAATGTTCATCAATGGGAACATCATCTTTAAGTTCTTTGGGACACATTTAAGTTTGTTCTGTAATTTGCTGATTTTTTTGAGACACAGACACAAAACAATGTAATGTTAAAGTCACAAGAAGATAAACAGTCCTATTTGCCATACACTGTGCCACTTTACCAGTACCAGGGTTGACTCCATGTTGTATTCACCTCCCTCAACACCACCCAACCTTCTCTGTAAAAAAACCAGGACATTGTTATATGTGTTTAATCAAATTCACCATTGGAATTAGTCAAGTTCCTGTCTTGGATGCTGTTTTAAACATTAACAACACTGAGCCGAGAAAAGTACCAGACGAAACCTTCACAGCCAAGCCATCTGTAGGTTTGGCAGCAAATAAATTCAAGGAGAATGCTTTGTAAGAGGCTTGTAGCTGACAGAACTACTGCACAAGAATAAAAATTATGAATAGATTTATTTTGGAAGGGTTTTGGGTTTTTTTTTTTTTTAGTTTGTTAAAACAGAATGCGACCAGTGACTGTGTGTGACAGTTTGTTTATGTCTCACTGGAAAATAACTGCATTTGTGATCAGGGACAGAGTCGTAAGGGTCACATCATCATTTTTAGTTCTTACCTGGAGAACCTCATGTCATATTTAAATTAGTTAAATGAGCATTAGTCGTGAAGATCTGTATGACTGATGTAAAGGTTTTAATGCAGCTAATACAAGGATGCTGTCATGTATATTAAAGTGCATCTTTATTGGTCAGTGTTTTGTTCCAAATACTCGATACACCTGAATCCTCCATCTGCCTGCTCTGTTTGTCTGCCTCCCTTTAGCTCCCATTGTTTGCTCCTTTCATTTTCTTCTCTGTGGCATCATTTCATATTCACACTCAGGATACTTGTCCCTCCATTATAACCCATCAGGAGTTTTTTTGCTTTTAAGCCCCTATTGATCATTATGGAGTTGATCACAACCAATCACCTCAGAGCGTTATTATCTGCTACAATTTTCTCGTGGTTATTGTTGTCGTTGTATTGGCCTGTCCATTATTTTGCTCAGTGTGTTGTATTTCTTTGTTTATCCCAGCTATTCAGTCCTGTAGTGATGACACAACCTGGTACATTCCAATGTTTTTGGTGGTGAATTCGACCTCCTTTTCTTCAACTGCAGTGTTTTGAAAAATTACTTTAGAGTACAACTGCACGACAAAAAATAGGTCACCGCTCCATGTATAGTTGTGTTTGTTCTGGACCTTTATACAGTGTGATGCACTTGAACATAGTGTCGTTTTTTTTTTTTTTGTTTTTTTTTACAAATATTTAAGTTTGTTTTAGCGTGATGGAGTGTGAATTGCGGATATTGCTGAAAAAAACATTTTATGACCTTGAGTGATCAGACCATTGAGTGACGTGGAGCCATTTTCATTTAGTACCTCGTGCAAAGTATTTGTTGCTGAAATGAGAATCTGTGACTGAGTTCAGGTTCAGGAAACATTTCATAATTGTATTGAGAGTACAATTATGTGACAGTACAGTGAAGAGAATCAGTACGGCAGTTCATCGGAATTTAATCAACATCTGTGGTTCCTTTCCAGTCAACTTGTTCCATTTTAATAAATACTGTATAAACACAGGTGCAGTGTTTTGAAAAGTTCCTGTCAGCTGGTGTTCTGTGTCTCCATATTAATTTTCATATACACACCATAAAACATTTTTTGTTGTGTCTGTGTGTGCGTGGGTGTTTGTGTAGAACTTTTTTCCTATTCAGACTTCCTCTGGTTCTCCTGAAATTAAATTTCCTTGAATGTTTTACTCTGATTTGTGGCATGGCAGCAGAGCATCAAAACAAATTCAATGGTTGTTTTTCATCGTCCGCCTCTGTGGCCTTCAGATGCTTTTAAGCTTTCAAAAGAATGAAAACGGCCGTAGTGAAGAGAACGTACAAACCTGGGGTAAAGCTGAAGTAGATTCTACAAAAGTCAGCTTCTAGTTTTCTTTTGTGCTGTTTGCCCACAGCTCTGACCTTTGTATTTCCAGACCCCACGCCTACTTTTTTTTAACATCCTCTGATTGGAGGTCAATAATTATTTAACATAGACATTTATTGTCTTTCTTTGAAAGCTGCCACTATCCACTGCTTTTTTTGGTTGTTTTTTGGTGGTTGCATTTCTTCACCCTCTTTCTTTTCCACCCAGACAGAGGTTTTATGCAACAAAGCCCACCAGCTGGGACATGAGAGGACAACAGCGGGGCATTTGGTGGGTTTTTCACTGGCCTTTGTTGCTTCAAAGCAGTGGCAACATTATCGGAACAGTCCACTTTGTACCGGCCCGTCTTTGTGTCCCACTGTCACTCAATCCATCAGCATGAATCCAACTTCTTTTTTCTCTTTTTGAGTTGAAGGCTACCTCTTTGTTGTGACTGCTCTTGCACCCTGTACTTCCAAACACGATCAATATTTTTTTTCATTCTCCAGCTTTTTGTACATAAATAAATACAGTTGTTATGTGTGCTCCCAGAGCCAGGTTCAGAGGTTTACTTTGATTTCAAACTTTTTTCTCTAGTCACTTTCAGACCTTTGTTTCACAAATGTAGCAGACGACGACATACGACCTTGGCTGGATGATCTTTCATTGTCTTGACATGTTTGCTGCATATTTCATAACTCCACACCAAATATATTGCAATATTTATCATTTGGTGTGTAAACTACTACTTTTTGGAAACCTAAACCCAAACAGACGATGCGTAATATTTGGAAGCACAAAAACATCTTCAACCTCCCTTTATGCATTAGCTACATTGTCTTGTAGTTATGTTAATGTGTAATTCAGGAACTTCACATTTGTGATAAAAACATAAAAGGAAAAACTACCAACCAACCAATAAGTTCATGACCAACCTGTAGCCAGTTAGCAGACCCCCTAAGAGTTGCAGTCCTCTTTTTGACAACCTGTGCATTAGATAAATCAAGGCAGGTCAGCCTTGTGTTGGTGTGTGTGTGTGTCTTCATGTGCTGACAAGAAGCACTTTAAATTAAATTGGACTTGCAGCAAAAGGCCTTGTACCAGAGTTCGTCCACAGTCAGATAACACACTGTACAGAACAGAAGTCCAATTACAGCAACAGCCCGGAACTCCATTAGTATGTAAGTGGCTCAGAGTTAGTGCACAGATACCACTCAGGTGGTTGGGTCATTAATTACCTTCACTGTTAGCAAACAAGACTCTCTATAACAAGATAATATTATAGTTATTAAAAAAAAAAACGTGATTAACTTTACTTTAATTAAAAAAGCCCTGGAATCTACCATTTTATATGTGATATTATATAGAGGTATATGTGTACATTACATTTAGTATATGTATATATAAAGAATGCTAACTTTAAAACCAAACTCTAGTCACAAGAACCTTTCAGATGCTATTTTTGAATCCACCATATTTCCAGTTGTCATGGATAAGCCTAGATGTTAGAATAATACTTACAGAACATGTTTTTCCATGTTGACAATTAAGTATTAAAATAAATAAAAACTTTAGAAAAAAATGAAAAGAAAATCTTTCAGTACATGACTCCAACCTGTTGTCTAATGTAAGAAGATCATCGTTCGTATGCTTTTTTTTAACAGCTTTACCAGATTGTCATGTTTGAAGCCGTTTGCCAAGAAAATATTCTGGATTTAGTGCTGGAATTAGGGGGGAAAACAAGCTGGAGATGACAGAATTCTGTGACAGGAAACAGGTCTATGTTATCAGATGACACAGCGATACAGGCTGGAAAAAGTGAATTTGGAGTGGGAGGAGAAGAGAGGAAACCAGTAGGTGGAGATAAAGAGGGGGCAGCAGGAGGGGGCCATATTGATCACACTGCTCAGTGAGTCTCTCAGTGGTTTTAATGGTTCAAGTTTCACAGCTGGAGTGAACTCTGCAGTACTGAGAGCTGAAAACCTCCCCGGCACACACGCACCTACAGGACAGAAATACACACCAGTCTTCCTGCGGGATTTTGGGTAACTTTTTTTTTATTTCCTCCACTTTTTCCCATTTCATGATTCCAACAGTGGGACGACTGATTGATTTATAACCTGCAGTAAAAATAAATAAATAAAGGATTTAAGTATGTTTATGATAAATAATCCAAAAACAGGTTTATTGAGTTGCTTTTATTGATGACAAACATACTGTTTAAGAGCGGTAGGGCTGCAATTAATGGTCACTGTCTGTCCATCGATTAAAGATTTAGGCCTGGACTAGTCTTAGTGGTTAAAGGGTTGAGCTTTGCTGGTTCAAATCCTGGCCCTTTCCTTTGTGTGTAGAACATTCTCCAAAACTCCTGCCCCCCTCAGTGCTACTCTTTCATCAATGGGATTAAAGCAGAAAATATTAGGGATGGAGCATTGCACTGTGAATCTATTACATATCGATAGAAATGTGTGACAAACGTAAGATGTAGGCTGTATTATCTCTGTAGGCTAAGTACAAAATCTACCAAAATCTGGGCTATATCTGGTCTACTTCCAAATATAAAGTCATTAGAGATGCTGCAGTTCTGAGTGCTCGGTGACTGGAATGAGGCACCAAATGAAGGTGGCTACCTGTGCACCCAGCTTACTGAATAATAAAACATCAGAATAACAAAAGTGAAATATTATATTACGCTTTGATCCAAGGCGACTTACAATTTGAGTCAGTCAATCAACAATCAAGCTAGCTGCCCTTTATATTCTTCATGTAGTGACTTTAAGCAGTAAAAAGGATACATGACCTCTCTTTGTTCCTCGTCCAGAAATAAAACCAATATTCATCTGAAACCTTCTCCTTCTCATGCCTCAGGCAGCTGTTGCTGTGGCGATAGTGTGTCCGTTTACAGCCGGTCGTGCAAAGCTGATCATTTTTGCTGTGGTATCCGATCAGATGGGCTATAGCTGTTGTTTTTTAGATGTTTGGTCCTAAGGTTCTTAGTGATATTGGACCAATACCGATCCTGAGTATCTGATCGAGCCATCCCTAGTTTTTCTAACAGTATTACTATCACCTGAATGTACTTGTTGCTTTGAGCTTCATTGTGATGTGTGTGAAAGATTGAAAGAAAGTGGAAATTTAGAAGAACTAGTCTCTAAATAAAAACATACCTGAGTCAGTCCTTTTTTTTGCAGACTCAGCCAAGTGTCTGTGTCTCCATCAGCCTTCAGTAGATGTAAGGGCTGAAGTATAAGGAGGCTTGTCACTGCACTGTATGCTCTGTCACATCCTACACCCTAACCTTATCCCTCCATCAAGGAGACAACAACCAGACCTGCCGTTTCCTGAGGTTACATGCTGTGTAAACTAACACACTCACTCAGTAAAATTACTACACTCCGTTTTACACTCCAGACTCAAAATACTTACTCGCTGATTTTTGTTACAACTGAAGGAATTAGCCTAACTACTGAGTGGTGTTATTCAGAATCATGTGTGGGAGGTGAAGTGGTGGGGGTCAGGTCTCTGCTGTAATCAGGGCTCGGAGCTTGTTTATTAGATGTAGTCTTTCCCTGAAGACTTCCATAATAACTAATAAGACTTGGTGGAGTTTATTGACTTTCTTATTGAAGACCTGTCATCTGCTCTTTACCACCGCCCACCGCTCTCTAACTCAATATGTTCTGTTGATACTACGGTATGTACTGCACTTCACGAGGCTCTGTCACCCAGGCTTATGGATTATGTTGTGGATGCAGAAATCAAAAGTGTTGATTGTTCTGTGACCCAATGAGAACAATAAGCCTTTTTAATTGGTTGGATTTTCTCTGGGGGTGAAAACAGTAACATTTTGCTTCTCGTTTTGACGCTAACCTTGGACATAACTCTCTAGTAAATCTGTTACGGTATCATAAGTTATACATAATGATGTATAATAATAATCATAATAACCAGGTTATGTATTATATTGTTTGCTAGCAAAGTGTGGCGATAATTACTGAAAAGAGTATTTAACTTGGCAGCACAACTCCCAAACACAAACATCATCACCGCTGACAGAGGAATATGAAGAAAAAGAACAGGGGGAACATTTGTTTTTTTTCCTTGCGGTGTTGTTAACAGCCAGCCAGAGCCAGGTAACAGGTGATGAACACAGTCACTTCCTTTAATTACTGACACGATGTCTCTACCATCACCGCGGTTGACCTTTTATTCTGGTTAGTTAAGGCTGAAGGAACCTGTACCAGACCCGCGGCTCCTGAGCTCCTGAAAGCATCTCAAAGGTCACGGGGTGTGACAGGAGATCAAATGGACTAACAACTCTGCTTCTGTTTCCTTTTTGTTTCCTAGAAGCTGCTGGTCAATCGTGGATGAGGAGGAGGAAAAGGGTAAAACACTTTACTCCACACAGGCTTTTACTTTAGCACTAAAGGCAACACTTGTTGCTTTCTTGTTTTGTTGGTTTTTATTTTGTTAATATATAATTTGAATCATGAGTGTTGACTTGCTGTTGGCGTGCTATGCTTTTAAAGCTTTTCCTATTATGCTATTTATCTGCGGTGTACTCCTTTGTCGCTCCATTATTTTTGCACTGCTGCGTTTTTACAAGGAGCTTTTGAAAAGCGCTCGCGTACGAGGTTCACGGTCGGAGTTGCTGCACTTTGGGTTTAGAGAGAAAGCTGTAAAAAATGCATTCAGGGTCACTCCTCCTTCGTCCAGAGAAAACGAAGCTTCCGTGTGAACCCAGGATGCTTTTACGCTGATGGAAAAGAAGAGAAACGTTGAGGTTAGAGATGAATCAGTCGCCGTCCTTGCTCTGATCGCTGACTGAAACTAGACGATTGACTTCCTCTTAGCTTTTAGGTTTTGTTTGATTTTCTTATTTTACTGCCTACAAACAAGCTCAGGTTGATTCAGACCTTGTGTTCGGTGTCTGATTTTTATTAAACCATGTCATATCTCAACACGTCCATGGCGTCTTTTTTTTTATCAACCATGTCGCCAGTGCACCAGGAACAACTGTTTAACTGCATGAGAATGCTGATCTATAACACTAGAAAGAAGTAAATGCATTTTTTGCACGAGATCATGGTCAGAACAAACTGCCATATTTAGGACCAAGGGTTAGATTTTGAACCTTGTTGTCAAAACAGCAGTTGATGCCTGAGGAGAACCTTTACTAATGAAAAGCTAACAGTAAGTCAAACAACTTTATTTGTCCATGAGAGCATCTCCCACCCGGGTTCTTTAGGAACTGACGGCAATTGCCCTTCTTTGGTTTGCTCCCATCCTTCACCTCATCTTTTCAGTTGCAAAGTTTGTCTACATCTCTGAAATCTGATGTCCTTCTGTTCAGTGTTTCTCTACATTTCAGAGTTTCTCTTTAAACATTTTCAGGAAGACAAAACCAGGTGTTTCTTTCCCATTACTGTCATTCACTGGTTAGTTTAAAATGAATGTATAAAATAATATTTCTATCTTACATATGTACCTAATTTCCCCAAATTGTAATTTTTTTAAAATTGTTTTGGCACTCAACACAATTTTCTTTGTGTTTTGACGTTTAGATCCTGGTTTTTACGTGACGAGAGTGAATGAATAGACCAACTGTAGAGAAAGAGACATTGATAACACTACTGGTAATTTGGTGATAGATTGATGATAGATTTGTTTTTTACTCGTCTATCAATAAAAACCTGTGGGATGGTGTGTATGGTGCACTTCTTGTTTATTATAATGTCACTCGCTGTTTTTGAATCAGTAGGTCGGTGTTATTTTTCTTTGATTAAAACAACATCAACAGTTTATATTATTATTATTATATTAAATATTCACTGTATGTTCTATTGATCTTTTTTTTAAATTCTCATAAAAACAGACCTAAGAAACCTATAAATACCACGCTGATTACCAACAACATTGTTTTCCGAGCAAATCAACCGTATTTTGACTCCACTGACGCCCAACCTTTGAATTCTTCCTCCTGTATTTGAATGAGTGTCCTCTTTGACTACTGCTGATGTGAACCACTGTGTTGCAGTACTCTCTACTGCTGTTGCTACTTAAACACACGCTGCCTTATCTTTAGGCCACACTCGGTGGAACTGTTGTTTTTCAGTTCGTGGACGGAACCGGCTGCAATCGTTAATACAAGTCTCCACAAAATACAAGCTGTGGAGCATCAGTAGTTGAAAACAGCAACACAAC